TGTCAGTTGGACATAAAAACGACTCCAAATCAATGATAATGTTGCTCCGTTTATACCGGGCTGATATGTCATTGTATCTACCATACATCTTAATATAATAACACTTTTTAGACATTTAAACATATGGGAGCAAAAGTCTCTGCCACTGTAAGCTTGTCCCTTTGGTTTGTTTTGGTGTAAAACGTCACAGTCAGGTGCTCTTCTCTTTGCAACTTCTCCACAAGCAGAAATACCTTTAAACATTGTGTGACAGTAAGATTCTCTTATCCAGAGCTGACAGCTCCTCCGTTATGGGTGACCATCCTTTTGAACTCTGACCCCAAAGGAAACCGCTCAGTCAGACGACCCACCGGTAAGAGTGCCTGCTGCTTGTGTGAGGGGACGATACTGATGTGACATTTGTGTGGGTTAGTGATCAGATTAACTCAGGGAAATTATTTAAAAGTAAAATATACATTGCAAATATAATATGATGACTAGGAAACTATTTCTTAAAATATTTATGTCTTTACTTTGTTCTGCAACACTGTCACCAGGTTTTCATTACTGTTACACAAAGTGAAACATTTACAGAAACAGTTACAGTCTTAGTCACATTTTAAAATGTGTTAATACATGTTTGTTATTATTCTAGCATTATTTTTGAATCTGTGTGTGTGTGTGTGTGTGGGTGTGTGGGTGTGTAGACAGTCCTCAGACTTGTGAGCGGGAGCGAGCGTCGCTGCTCTCTCACATGCGTTCACCCTGGAAGGAAGAGCGTTTCATCCCAGAATGCACTGCAGACGGCCGCTACAACCCTGTGCAGTGTCACACTGCTACAGGTTACTGCTGGTGTGTCAGGGTGGACAGTGGCAGGCCGCTACCAGGCACCTCTGCAAGGTAATCAGTCAGTCAGTCAGTCAGTCAGTCATAGTTGGATATGTTGGGTTAATATAGGCACAGATATAATTCCGCACTAATGCACAGAAGCAGTTAATCTTAATCATCCAATTTTAAACCAATTACTGTCTCTGTTCCCTGGATGGGTTCCCCTAAAGGAAACACACAGAACAAATCAGAGTAAACTGCGGTTGGTTCTGTTCTCGGGGGGGGGGGTTATCAGCGTTGTTGACGCTCAGCTGAAAGTGCTCGCTGTTTCCATCTGGTGGTTTTCTTTGGTTCACTGGTGTGAGGGAAAACTCCCTAAGGCCTAATAATGTATTTGTATCACTCCTGCAGAAAACTCAGGAGTAATACAGTAACACACTACGGTATCTCTGGCTGTAATTAATTACAAAGTATTCATTTTGTTGTGCTATTTACCAGGAAACAAAATTCACTGTTTAATAACACATTTATTGTTCATATTGGCAGATTTCCTCGCCTGGTTTCAAATTTAAGTACTGACCATTTCAGAAAATAAGATGCTTTAAAGGCTGTGATATTTGCAGGAATCACATCCCAGACTGCACTGGGGCAGAGGAGGTGCCAACCGACAGGAGGTACAGGGACAAACCTCTGCCAGGTAAATATGAGAGTTTCCCTTGTCAGCTTACAGGAATGTAAACACCTCATCATGTTTACTTCATTTATAATTTGTAAAACAGGGATTTTATTGTCTGTCCCCTCTCCAGAGCAAAGTGACAGAAACAGCAGCAGACATTAAACAGGAGGGCAGTCCAGCAGGGTAGACATGTGGAGAGGCCAAAGACTAACATCTAGGGTTGCTGTCCTCTCTCCTCTGTTCCCTCAGGGTGTCCTGGAGCTCGTAAGAAGCAGTTCCTACAGAGTCTGGTTAGAGCTTTGCAGCTGGAAGCACAGCATGCTGGAAGTCTGAGTCCCCACCAGTAAGTCTATCTACTGTACAGCACAGCAGGTTCAGTGATCAGTGAAGGTTGTGTCCAAAATCACTCCATATTTACTGTAAATTGGGTAAACTATTGAGTGTTTGTTACATAGTGTAATAGGGAGTGTTGAATGAGTGAAGAAGGGAGGGAGTTTGGACATAACCTCAGTTTTCCTTTAATTAGTTTAGGAAACTCATGACAAGGACGCGGTCTTAATGCAGCTGGGCTGTGTTTAAATGTCTTTAAGACAATTATATGCTTCACGGTCACATGTGATAATTAGTTTGTATGTTTGCTGTGTAAATGCAGAGGTTATTGCAGTGGTTGAACTTGAAAAAATTAAAATCTAGTATGTTTACAGAACAATATTAAGAAAACAATGAGCAGAATGCATGAACAGGCTTGTTATCTAAAGCTCTGCATTAAAAGGTGCCTTAAAGGAAAGTAAACATGTTTTGTTTATTTAATATTTCCCATCAAACTGTATTTTATTCATAACTAAGTCCTTGGAAACATGTTAAATGCATTTTCATCATAAAACAGCCATTCTTTTGAATTTGATGTGTGGTCATCCTTTTTTCTATTGTCACCTGTGGCGTATTACTGCATTCAGCAGTGTTATATATGTGTATTGTGCACTAGGGTGTAACCACGCATTTGGGGGGGGGGGCCTTTAGTGATTTTTTTTTCTGAAAAGCCACTAGCCGAAATTTTGCGACTCATTCAGACCATCAGGGAAAAGACTAAGTATATATTATTGTTATATTATTGTTATTCATCCCCATGCATGCTGCTCAGAGGAGTCTGCGCAGTCTGCGGCTCTTCTGCCAACAGAGCCGGGGTCTAGTCTCCCTCTCCTCTTGCTCGTCACTGCCAGGCTTTAGGGTGGCATCTGGGGTAGGCAGGAGGACGCCGCTCGCCGCAGAGTACAGTTGTAAAGAGTGTCTGTGGTTATGTTACGTCTTTCTCTCTGGATTAGGATGTTCCTATAGCTTGAAAATATGCTAAAATAAAAATATGCAGTAAATAGAATTACAAATAAAAGCAGAATATTCAGATCAGATCCTTTAATCTGGTCAGTCCTTTACTGTAAAACAGGACATACTGTACAAACAGTACAGATAAGGCTCATCAGCAGCACTGGTCAGAAACTGTATGGGCTAAAAGGCTCGAGCCAAGTGCCACTCATTTTCTGTGTGTGTAACCTAACATCTTTGACTTTAGTGGAGGCATAACTTTCCTCTGCAGAGCTGAGTTGCTTCTCCGAGTGCCAAATGAAAACCAATTTCATACGTCAGTGAACACAGACCTGATCAAGTCTGTGATTAACTGATGGAAACTGTTGGAAGAACGAACCAACTCCATCTGTTTCTCTTTGCCAATCAGCACTTTGGTCTTTCTGTACTTACCTCATTCTCAATCTGTTTCTCTCCCAGTTCGTGTACAAACATCCTCCTTTTTAACACACTTTGTCGTCTTCGTGTCTCATTTTCATCAACACACTTAATGAATTCCAGGTTTGTTTGTCTTTGGTCTGATACAGAAAATTGAAGCTGTGGTTTTTGCTCACTGTATAACTGATAAGGAACCCAGAAGCCATCTGGTAATTTTATTTTTTCAGCAGGCTGCCATGTCCTTGTGAATTTGTATATTTATTGAGCTCTGCAGGAATACTGTAAATAGAAGTCGGGGTTATATTTGGTCAAGGTGCGAACACTCGGGAACGTTCTGTCACAGAAATGTGATTACAGGTGTCTGAAGATGCCAACTGCGTGTCCTGTCGATGACACCTGCTGGGGTGTGAACAATAATCTCACTCAAACTGCTGACTCGAAATCCTGATGTTTAGATTTTATCAAGTTTATGCTGAGTGTGAATGCATTTTGATTATATTACAACCCTCTTGGTTTATGAGGACTTTCATTACAGAAGCTACTTCTAGTACTCAAACTAGTGTGGAATTTTTTGTTTTGTACGTCTGTGTTTTGTTTATGATGGATTAATAAAGTTTTTAAGAAAAGAGTTGAGATTGTAGAATATATCAAAACCAACGCATTTCATTGGACTACTTTTACTAGAGTTCGTAATATGAGGGAAACGTTTCCAAACGAGTTGCCACGTTGTTCCGTTTATAAACACTGGAGCAGAAAGTGCTCGTCCAATCAGGTGCAGCCAGAAGGGTTTGCACAGTTGAGGGAGGGGGTAGCCTTTCATCACAAGTGTCCAATTTTCAGTGGAGTAATCCTTTAAACTGGTGATCTCTGACTTCCTGGGTTGTGTCTCTTTCCACCAGGCCCTCAAACACACCTCCTTTCAGCGCTCCTTCCCCATCTTTCATCACTCCAACCTCCACCACTCCTTCCTCCTCGACCCTGGACGTTGCTTCTCCTGCCGCTCCAGAGGCCGTGGAATCCTCCAGGCCAGCGGCGGTGCTGCAGTGGCACTTTGGGCACCTGGACATGGACTCCAGCGGAGTGCTAAGCGAACGCGAGGCTCGACCCCTTCGTCAGTTCCTGCGACGGAGGCTGAAGCCGCGACGATGCGCCAAGAAGTTCGCTCAGTACTGTGACAGGGACGGAGACAGAGGCCTGACGCTGGAGGAGCTCAGGGTCTGCCTGGGCCTCTGAGGTGGGTCCTGGTGTGTGTGTGTCCCAAATGACTTGATAAATATCCCTCTTTTCAGTCAAATAGCTTCCAGTGCAACTTTAAATTTTCCCTTAGGCTACTTACAAAGTCCTTTTTCCCACTCCCACTGTCCTGTATGAGTACCTGCAATAAAACACATGAATACAGGGCTATAGTGGATGTTGGCTGCACAAGATGGAGAGGTTTAAATGGTTCAAATACTTTTCTTTAAACTGTAAATACTGTATATGCTCTGTGAAAATATATGTTTCTACCATAAAATGCATTTTCTAGAGGGTATATGAAAAGAAGGACATATAAAGGACAATAAAAAATACGTAGCTATGTTTGTGAGTGAAGGTTTTCTTGATAATAATGAAGACATGGTAACAAACACTAATGTTGGCAATACTGGCAACAAAGCAGACAAAAAAACTCATTTTAAACCTAAGTCAAGGTACAATACAGTAACATGTGGCAGCTTGGCCACCTTCAGCCAGGTTTCAGTGTTTATCCCAGTGGTGTAGTAGAAAACAGTGTGCCTGCTGCCTCTGTACCACCTGTTCTGAGCCAATCAACCAATTAACCTGATTCAGAACAGGTGCAGCAGCCGGCTTAACTCCGCCTCCAGCTGGTGCTCAGAGTGAACCTGCTGAGGCTACACAAAACTCATTTGTAGTATTTCATTCGGCCAAGATGAAAATGTTCCTGAACAGATGGAACAGGTTGATAAACTGGTTATTTAAAATTCTGCTCACAAATAATGTCGACTCCTTCCGCTTCAAGCTGTGTGGAAATAAAATATTAGGGAAATCTGATTTATGAAGTTGAGTGAGTGGAGTTGAAATTACAAATCACTACAACAAAGTTACATATCATTTACCCAAAAACCCATCCTTTATTGTCAGGGCAGTTAATTTGCAGCCTGGTTAGGCTTTTAGATTCAGGATTTTCTACTCTCTTAGTATAGTTATATATATATAACATTTTGTTCTGTCCTTTGCTGTTTACTACCCTAGCTTTAAGTATTGAATTTGAGTAAATGTATTTAGTTAATTTCTGGTTGAGTTCAGTCCTCCAGCTCAGAGTGTGAGTGAGAGACAGGTTGCACTGTGTGTGTGTGTGTGTCTGTGTGTCTGTGTGTGTGTCTGTGTGTGTGTGTGTGTGTCTGCGTCTGGTCCACACTTGCGGTGATAGAAGCATCTTTTTCTGCTCTCCGGGTTGTTGCTCCTGTTGATCCCAGGAGAGCCGAGCGTTTCGGGCTGGCTGCCAGACAAATTACACCCGCCGATTTCTGCGTGTTTATCTACCTTTATGAAATCAAAACACACGTGGGCAGCGGTTAAATGGCCTGCTTGTCAGTCACAGCTCGGCCGTGACACCAGCTCACTAATCAGTCGGACCGCAGACGGCCATGACAGCTAGAGGAGTATTTTTGTGTGCGGCTCTATGAGTTGCGGCGACAGTAGCTGAGGGTTATTATGAGTGAGTGTCGCCGCAGACAAAGAGTCTTTTTCCACATGAATATTTATGGAATTTCTGTTGACATATACAAAACAAAATATCTGGTTTATACAGAGAACTTATAGTGCCTTACTATACAGATCCCATTGACCTGCATGGAAATACCGTACAGTGTTCTGTGTGGTACAGTGGACACATGAAGGCAAGATGATGGAGTAGTAGCATTTTCTGTTTACATTCAATAAAGGATAGTCACATTTTATTTTCCATGGTAATTAAAATCCTTCATTACCACCTGTAGGAGACTTGTGGCAGCTCTGATGTGTGTATCTTAAAGGATAAACAACACACACACTCAGCACGCACCTTGAAGCAACGTGTCAATAGAGAGTTGAGGTCTCATCTATTTTTTAGGTTCTCAGCAAAAATACAGTGAAAATGATCTGTTCATACTAATATCGAGGTTATATCAGCAACACAAACACCTTTCAATACAGTTTCATTGTTTATATCTGTAAAATGGATAATAAATATATATTTTTAACTCAACACCTCCTGTATCTAAAGATTAACTTTATCCATCTCCAATGGGGAAATTCACACAGTTACTCCGGGAGTGGTTAGTGATGCAGTGCCTTGCTTAGGGCTGTGCCCAGGAGGTGAACTTGCACCTCTCCAGCTATCAGTTCACACTCCATCCTGTGCTCCATGCTGACCCTCCGGTTCCCTACAGACTGAGCGACTGCCCCGAGCTTTCAGTCTGTTTAACATTAAAGTTCGCTGGTGTTTCTGTGTTCATTCGTTAACGAGGCTTTTATTGTATTTATCAAACTCAGTGTAGGAAGAGCAGCAGCACTGTGGAATCCACGGGCAGTGTGTCCCAGGTGTGAGGAGGAAGGGAGATAAGACTCGCTGTAGAAATATAAACAGGAAGACTCAGTGGGAAGATTGCTCGGAGATAGAGTTGTCCAGGCGAGCAGGAATCTGAAGGTGGCAGATAGAGAGGAAGGACGAGAGGGGGTGAGGAGCAGCTGATAGTTCACAGAATGAGGAGAGTGAGAGTATAAAGGGCGTGACGACGTGTGTCTGGGAAAGATAGCAGTGACCTCCGGTGGTGACGGAGGAGCTGCCAACACCCGGCGGCCTGATGAGGAAGAGGATGTGCTGGGCTAGAGTTTGGATTTACTTTTTTCTTCGCTCTGCTAATTTTCTGTCTCTCTCATTCTTTGCCACAGGGAGCAACGAGACAAATGACCCGATTCTAAAGGCCAACTGGTTCCCTCCCGTCACCTTTCACGGTTCTATTAATTCATCCATAAAATCATGGCTGTGTCATTGCTCACAATTTCATCCAATGCTGATTAAAAGACAAACATAAATACTGCCTCTAGTCCTCACTGTCACTAAAGCTATTTTTCCTTTTCTTATCTATTCCCCCGCCAGTCCCAGTAGTTCCACACACACACACATACATTTTGTAATTACCATGGAAAGATTTAAGCTTCCTTTGGTATTATTATTTTTATTTAAATAATATTTTTATTGGGATTTTCCATAATACAGTGCAGAAAACAGACACATATCAGAAAACAGAAAACGGGGCCTGATAATAATTAGTCACACTGCTGCATCATGAGAGAGGCAGACGGCACACAGTAGATTGTGTTGCTGGTCAGGTGCAGCGTCATATTGAGCGAGATGATCCAGAAATGGCTGCAATATATCAGAAACTGTATTAAGACTGTGCATCACGCCATATCGATTCCTCTGGCATTATTAATGTTGTAATAAACCGGAGTATTTTTTCTACTGTCTTACTGACACTGATGATGCATCCTTTTTCGCTGACTCGACATTTCACTCAATTCCTTCCTCTCCATAATTTACACGGCTGTCTCTGAATCCTTTCCTCATTCCCTTTCCTTCCTTTGTGTTTACCCTCTTTTCCTAACATCCTCTACATCCTTGCATCTTTTTGATTTATCCCTTTCACCTTCTGTGAACTCTTCTCTCCTTGGTCCTTCCTTTCCTTTGAGTCCTCACTCCTTCTCTAGTTTGCTTGAATCCTCAGGTCTTTCCTTTGTTCCATCCCTAATTCACTTCTCCTGTCCTTAAAGGTCCAGTGTGTAGGATTTAGAACCGCAAACGCCCCTATCCAGAGGCAGTGTTTGGCTTGTCCCTTCTGGGCTACTGTAGAAACACGCAGGTTCCAAATAACGAACTCCGTGGGAGGTGACCTGTGGCATCTGTAGATGTAAACAATGATTTACTATATTCAGGTGATTGCACACTAATATAAACATACTTATGAATATTATATTCACACTGGACCTTTAATCTCTTTGCTCTCAGTCCTGGTGACTTTTCCTTTCCAAACATCCTTACCTTCTTCCCTCCACTTCTCTCTCTGCTTTCTTTATGCTTTGCTTCTCCATATTTTATAAACATGTTGCCAATATATTGATGTAACATATTTTGATACACATTTTGCTTGATAATTTTTCATGCAGTATATTAGACGATATTCAGTCTGCAGCACTAAATTGTTTGCTAATTGATGCCATGACTGATTTTCATGTGATTCTCTGATGTTTGCAAACGTGATTTCAATAAAAGGGTGTTGTCATTTCCTTTTTTCATTAATCTCAGCAGTGACATTGTTTGCCAGTAATAATCAGTCGACGTGAATTAAGTCCCGCCATCATTTGTTTAGTCCAGCAGGGAGGCTGCTGGTTGCCATGGCAACAGCTGCCCGAATCGCCGTCTCACAATAAACAAATCAGCAGATAAACAGGAAACGATAGAGGAACAGCAGCTCTCATAACAGTCAAGTAAGCATTATTTCCCAGGGTGCATTAGCTCCTGTCTAAGTGGTGTCCATGGCTGTGATGTGATGAATGGGACATTAACGAGACACCGTGGCTTCCTAATAGAAGCAACAGTTGTGTCCAGCGTGATTTATCTTCCTCTGTGGTGTCCAGACTGAGCCTGAAGGGCCGACATGCCAATGTGACCTCGAGTAACAGGCTGCAGTCGGCTGCGTGTTTACTATCAGTCTCCTGTCTCAAAGCTACAATGATGCCCTGAGGACAACCATGAAGATAGCAGAAATAGCGTTTGTGTGCTTTGTCACAGTAATTACCATCTGGTTATCTGTCCCTGAGCCTGCAGAGGTCAAAGAGCAGAGCCGTGTAGAGCGAACATTAAATGTCCCTGAGGGTCACAGTGCTTTGCAGACAGTTGTCAGACACAGCACAAGATCCACGTTGTCAGGGAATTATAGTTTGACCGCCACCCTGAGGGAAGCATCTGGAACCATACAACATAAGTCTGTGAGATGACCCTCACTTCATAAAGGTGCTGAAGGTAACTACGAGGAGAAGAACCAGTTATGTTCCTATTTTTAAGACTAACACAGCAAAACCAAGAAATCATAAAATTAGAAAGGATAGACACTTTTTAGAGGCTCTAGGAAAAGCTACCAAAAGAACAAAAGAATGTTGATGACGACAAAGCTCCCTCTCCCAATCAACATCCCATGATGTGACATTGTTAAAGTGAAGAACACTTGCGGTTATCAACCAGGCTAGTGTGTGATGTTTTAAACCACACACTGACAAAAAAACAGGTTTGACTGAAATGTGATAGGTGCTAGTCAGTTACAGGCTGCTTATAGCTAAGAGTGGCGCCTCCCCTCCACGACTCATGTATAGGCTCTGTGAGACCTGCCTGGGCCTGCTTCAGACGATGTTTTGGTGCAGTCGAGACTACATTACTGCTGGACATTTGTTTCAGCTAAACCTCATGACTTTCGTCAGGATTAAGAGTATAGTCTAGTATGGCCACTGCTTGTTGTAGCCATAACTTACATTAAAATGCTCACATATATTCCAAAGACAGATATTCATTACAATGGTCTGTATCCTAAACCAACACTGAGCGAGGACCACTGCTGTAACTTTATCTCCACACAGTTGTTAATGTTTTTAATAACAGAAAAATAAAGTCTGATAAATGGGGTTTAAACTAGAATGCTTAAGAAAGAAGGCAGTTTTATCTTGAATAATTTAAGTCATGAAACTGCAATTCAGTTCATTTTTATAGGCTACACAAAAAAGGAAGGAAAGAAAAAGACATGAGGGTCCTTTGTTTGTTTGTTTGTTTGTTTGTTTGTTTGTATGTATGTATGTTGTTATGTAATGGTTTGAATATAGCCACAAGCCGGCTTTTACTTCTTTCTGTATTCTAATATTGTTTTATATTCGTAATTGAAATATAGCAGGATTTCAAGAACAATGAGGTTGTGTCTGACGTCACAAGGACCCGGTCTCTACCAGCTGTGGACACTGGTTCTGGCAGACAGTGCATCACTCTCATACCTGGAGCCCAGTCCTTGCCTTCATCAGGACAGACTCCTCCTGTCCCAGTGTGGAGAACAGATCAGAACAAGAGCTGGACTGGCCGACAGCCAGTTCAGACTCAGCACTGTAGCTAATACAAGTAAGACTCGTACATCTTAAAAATCTTAAATCCTGCTACGATTTTCATTACATTACACGCTTTATTTAGGACACTTACAATAAGTCAATCATTCAACCATGGTGGATCACAACAAAACCTGTAACTGCAGAATCATGATAACTACATCAAACTTCATCAAATGGCTGAACATCTTCAAGTGCTAGCATTTAGCTTCCCTCGGTTAGAGTTTTTCGAGCTTGCCCATCTGGGCAGCTACAGTAGGGACGTCACACGTGTACTTAGAACATGGATTCGATTCAGCCACCAGTAGCCAGTGCAGGCGGGTGTGGAGGTAGGCAGTGTATTTCGGTGAGAGAACTTCGCAGTAGGCTTGTACAGACCAGGCTGAGCTGCTGCATTCTGGGATGACGCTGCAGAGGGTCAGATGGCACATGCTCAGGCAGAGCAGGAGTGACGTTGCAGTAGTTTAGGCTACGCAGATGACAAGATCCTGCTCGGGTGGGGAGGAACCGGCTCTGAGCTAAAAATTATCTACTCAGACAGTGTCGTAATAATGCTACATAACCACACAGCTGAGTAACACTAAAATCCTTCAGTTATATTGTGCTAACGTTAATGTGGCACAGAGGTTTTTGCTGACATGG